ACAAAACTGTGCTATAAATAGACAATAAACAATAAATACACTATAATCATTTTAGAATTAATTTCCCATGATATCTCTTGTAACATTAAAACAATGTAAAAGTTTATGTCTTTTGTTTTCAAAGAGTTTTAAACACCTTTTTATATGAAGCATTCAAAAGCTGTAAAAATGGCCTGTCCCTCAATATGATTGTTCTATTTTTACTAGCTATTAAGGCCCAAAAAGTCAAACTATCATAACAACATAAACTTATATATAAAGCCTCAAGTGTCCTTTCATTACTCATGAATGGGTGTTATTCTTCTTATATATGTAAAATGTTGTAAAAATCATCAATTTAGTCGGGTCTCCAGGTAGTCGTCAACCCTGTTACTTTTAATGAAAACACCCCTTCTGAGATAATGAACTGCTCCGAAAGTTGCATCATTTCCTGGGAGTGAAATCAGATTCCTTTTGTGAACATGCTGGTGAAAAGACAAATAAGTGTCCTCTTCTTTTCATGATTTTTCTTAGAGTTATATAATGTTTGACAGAGGGGGACAAGCTCATTGTGTCAGCCCTGTTTCCACAAGACGACACATTAAAAAGATATTTGTTAGAAATTTTTATGTACATAAATAACATGATTTAAGCCTGAATGCACACCATGTGGTCTCATGACCTTCACCACATGGCTAGTCATGGCTGCCAAGAACATTTTTTGTCAACCCTGTTACCGCCAACTATGTTACCGTCAACCCTGTTACCATTCTAGCGTAACAGGGTTGACGTAACAGGGTTGACAAAAGTATGGTTTTGCGAGTACATGAAAATATACTTTCCTTACCAATAGTATTTACATTATATACATGGTTTTACAAGTTTCATTGCTAGCTGAGAGGGAAATTGAAAAAATTGTGCACTTGGTGACAAGTTTTTGAAATTTGGCATGGTGTTAAGCTTGGTGGAGAGGTATAACATGGTCCAACATGGAACCCATTAAAATTTGGAGCAGATCCAAATCTCCGGTGAGGGCCATATTGAAATTTGTGGCTCTCCCAGCTTGGTTTTTACTTTACACTATGCCAAATTTCAAAAACTTGTCACAGAGTGCATAATTCTTTCGATTCCTCCTGAGACCCAAACCTTTGTTTTACATGCATTTTTAAGTTCTCCAGGCTATTTGAAATCAGTAAAACCCAAGAAGCATAAAAAAGAAACATTGTCCCAGTGTCCTTAAATGTGTATGCCCTAATAAACAGTGTCTCAGCTTGTTACTGTTACCAAAATGAGTCACATTTGTATTCCATATCAAACTACAAACATTATTAATCATAGATAAACAAGTTACAACCATTTAATGTGATCAAGTTTTGGACCTTATCGACATCTATATTGGGATCAGCTGCAGACTGACTTGGCAGAGATGGCCGCCATGTTGTTTTTTCATGGATTAGTGTATTGTGCAAATTATCCTTCTACATGTTCACCGACAGAAACCTCGTTACAACTTTTACTTCCTCTAGATAGTCAAGTTTGATCGTCTTCTCTGCACTCTACCAGGGGTACTAGATGGGACAAAAAAGTGTTCAGGAACAAGAACAACAGGTCTAAGTTAAGTAGAATGAAGTATAAGGTTAAGTAAAATGAGATGTCCTCATATGAGGACACAGTGTCTCAAGAGGATAGATTGAAAAAAAAAAATAAAGGACCCCGGTGTAGCTCACAGGTAATTCACTTTCTCATTTTTACCCCCCAAAGCTTGATGAGAAACCAAACAATTTAAATTGCATGAAATGTTTTTCATCATCATCGTATACATATGTAACACCACTCACATGCGTGATGATACCTAGTAACTGAATTGGACTCATCTGAGGCCACTGTAGCAGTGTCATTTTACTTCCACATCCAAAAATATGGAGGTTAGGTTAACTGAGGACTCAAAATTGTCTTTTGGTGTTGATATGAGTGTGAATGGGAGTCTGTGTCAGCCCTGTGATAATAGGCTCTAACCGCCAGTCATCCTGCACATAATAAGTGGGTATACTGAGGACAGATACAAAGATTGGTGGGAAAGGAAAATAGTGTTGTACATATATCCAGTGCCACATCACAGGTCAAGTACCCCCAAAAGAGTAGAGTCTAATAGAGGGCGCTGGGGCAAAGCTCATCCAGAGAGGAGAAGAAGACAAATCAACAACTGAGAGAAAAGCACAGTGTCCATAGATGAGGAAAAAAGCCTTGCATACCAGCACTTCTAAGCAGTACTTAGAACAGAGAGAAATATTTAGGTCAGACTGAATGATTCCTGTCACATCCTCCCTGTTGCCCTTGTAGAGAGGATCCTTCCTCGTCCCTAAAGGTGCTTCATGTTTCTCTGTGACAAAAATATAGTTTTATTCATAATGGATCAGTATAAAAAGAAGAAACCAAAAAGAAAAGAGAAAGAAAAAAACAGGGGGGAGTGAGGATACTGGGGTGGATGGAAGAATGGAAACAGAAAGGCATGGCTCTGTGAAGTTTGGAGAATATCAATTTTTAAGCCTCCCCCTTTTCATTGCACTTCACCCTGTAAGTTTTTTCCTCCCCTCCCTCCCTTAGAATATCATAAAAGAAAACAATTAACTGTTATTTTTCCTCCCGCTGAAGGTCGTCTGTCTGTATATTCGTAGGATAGCCTTTCCGAGCGCTTTGTGTTTCTGTAACTCTGTCAACTTCAGCTCAGTTAGATCTGCAATTGGCATGAAAGTAAACAAAATTTCCAATGGATGAACTTAAAAGGTCCACTTTTCAACTTCTCATTGTCTCTGCACTCTTGTCAACAGGCAGTATTGTGGCTTTTTGTAAAGAATCTGTCAAAGTAATGTTTCATGTTTTGACAGTTTCAGGGATGATTTCTATTCAAACCACTGAGAGCGCTCAGGGCTCACGCTGTTATACTAAAAATCTGAATTATAGTGTAAAAAAATAAATAAAATCATGTCCTCCGAATGGGCGGCAAAATCCTTTTTAATTGTCAAAGTGTGACTTTGTGCCATTTTCATTAGAATATCAAGTTTATACGCTCAACCCTACAGCTGTCACAACAAACATACCCAATATACTGTTGTGAGAAGACAACAAACAATAACTTCTTATATAACGCTTTTCATTTGCACACAAAGAAATATGTCTCTTCTACCAAGGTCTGCCTAACTCTGGCACAAAAACTACTCTCCAAAAACATGGCCCAAGTTTTTAATGATCATCCATCAAAAGATGGAGATGAAGGACATTTTACTAGGGATTATACCCTTTAAATCATCGAATAAAGAGCAATAAAACATGAATGGATTTTATCTAACTCATGTAACAAAGAGAATCTTTTCTCTTCAGGGAACCCATTAAACTAACCTGGTTCTGTGACTAATGGCTAAACTTTGCAAAGAGACTTGATCCCATTGATTGATGTGATCTGATCACAGTGGTAGTCAAGGCCCCAAGGTTGTCCTATAACATTAAATATCCTTCCAAGTGACATTGCTGATTTTGACAAACCTTTAGGTTATAATGTGCTGCAACTTTTGCTTACTTGTGTGGCTAGAGGGAAGCCTTTGGCATCTTTCTGCAAGGGCAGTTATTGTTGCAAGTACAAGAAAACACAATTCAGGAAGAAAGTTCATTGATGTAGCAACATAATGGATAATCAGCTGGATTTTAGTCTTCAAAAAGGAGATTCAAGTTTGTCTATATCCATTTGTTCCTGATTCTTTTCTCCTTAAAGCAAATTTTGTACAGTTTTGGCTCTTAGTCATTAATCAATACACGGAAGGGCTCCAAGAGGTCAGCAGCACAGAGTTGTGGGCTGTTTAGACTGTTCACTGATGCAATGTAACTATCGTTCATTCTTTTATTTAAAGACATTTGTCCTGCATCAATAAAGCAACACTTCCGTGCAACTTGTCAGTCTGATTCATTGCCTGTGTGGCTTAACGTTCTGTCTGTTATGTCTGTGTTAAAAATGTGACAATCCCACAGTGAGAAAACGGAAGAAAAGTTATGAGTAATGTTTGTTATGTAAAGGCATTGGGGGGCCTGTACGACTTTTGTAGTTTGAAAAGTTACCCATCCTGATTCTGTCCTTCACTGCTTCTGCAGTCAGCATCCATCCATTTTCTAAACCGCTTATCTGGTGCAGGGTTGCAGAGGGCTGGAGCCAATCCCAACTGCCAGCATGCATTGGGCAAGACGCCCTGGACAGGTTGCCAGTCTATCACAGGGTACTGTAGCGTTGCAACCTATATGCTGTAAATACAGTGAAGTTCTTGAACATATCGGTTGTGTCCCTTGGATTCTGGATAGACACTGTTTCCTTTCCTTCATTCCTGATTATATATGTCCACACTGCTATATATAAAATACACTGGTGTAGCACAAAACAAGTTTTATCATTTTAAAATGTATTTAATCAGTTTTGGAGTGCACTGAAAATATAATTTGGCGTTGGTCCTCCGACAGGAAAGTATTTGTATGCTCTTACTCCAAGTGTATTTTTAATGGCATCAGTCAAGGCTCTTGTGAGTTACAATGGTTGCACATGCTGCTCATCTCACAAATTAAAAACTAAAAAAAGCTGTGTTTTTTTTTAATGTAAAAATGTCAACAAAAAAAGGACAAAAAAACAACAACACATAAATAACATGGTGACAAACCATTATTCCAGATTTAGTTTTGTTAAATGCCGCTGGTTTTAATGCCTGTTTATGGAATCACACTCTTCTTTCTACAGCCACCACTTTGTACTCTTAAGCAATCATACAAACTGAAGTCCATCATGTAGAGACAGATTTCACCATGAACAGAGTCAAAAAATGCACACCAGATATGTTGTTCATAAATCATGGGAACCAAGGAAATTTCTGAGGAAGATGTGTCTGTGTGTTGGACTGAGAGGGGGAAAAAATTGATAGCACTTGATAGCAATGAACATGAGACTAATGTTCTCACCCTCCTGTGTATCTCTTCCATCCTGCAGAGCACCTAAAGGTAGCGCTGGAGGAGTACATGATGCGGATGCCAAAGGTTCGCATCCTGAGGACCAAGAAGAGGGAGGGGCTGATTAGGACTCGCCTGCTTGGAGCCGCTGCAGCTAAAGGAGAAGTCATCACCTTCCTGGACTCCCACTGTGAGGCCAACGTCAACTGGCTGCCCCCACTGCTGGGTGAGGATCAAACACATGCACAGTGATGTGAATGATCAGTTACATCAAACGTCCTTTTAAGATACAATGTAAAGCTCATCACAGCTGAACAGTGATAAGAAGTTCTCTTCATTCATAGTGGACTGAAAATTATTTGATATGTTTTATTCCTTAAACAGCCTGACTCCTTTCAGCGAGGCTTTTTCAGTTTCAAACCAGCAGATAAAAGAATGACTCGAAGTCTTTACCCACAACCTTACAGTTAGCTGTAGTTACATTAGAGGTAGATCCATTAGCTGTAGCCAACAAATTGATGCTAAAGGCCCAAACATACTCGGGCATAGTATAAGCGGAGCGAACTCCACGAGGAATGTCCGCAGTCATAGTCGAGCGCACTTACACGTTGTAGTTTCCTGTAAAAATCCCCGCAAAAAATCCCCGCGATGTGAAAAATACATGCCAAACAGTCACTGCTGCGCAAAGTGGAGTCCGCGCGGTCGTAAAATCTGAGCTTTGCGCGCACAGGGCTTGCAGACGTCCGCTTTGAGTCCGCGCAGACCTCCGCGTACGTTCCGCCCGAGTATGTTCGGGCCTTAAGGCTTTAGCCTTTCTTAAACCCAGCTCAAATATAACCTATAACTAAAAGTATACCTAGTTTCAGTCAATAAAAGTTGAACTTTGAAAATCAGTCCACTTTCAGCTGTGAAGAACAGACACAGGATGCACTCATGAACATCAGCAATGTCTTCTTTGTAATCTGCCTCTTACACATACATTGACTAATGCAAACAGTGAGGAAGAACCACTTCCACCTATTGTCACAGCAGAATTTCCTGAATACAGATAAGGTTCAGATCATGGTTGCCATCCGCCATGTTTTCTGCTGCTAGGTCTTTCTTTAAATGTCCCCCTTCTCCAGCAAATTTTCATATTAAAATGTCCTCTTTCATGAAAATATCTCATTTTCAAAAATATCCATGCCTTTCCGAAAAGTTAAAATCTTCCACTATGTCCTCTCTTTAAAATTAATGTCCTCAATGTCAAGGTCCACTGACAGATTGAAGTAAGAGAACACACACAAACAAACATACACTCACACACCACCCCTGCTGTGAGACTAAGCGCTTCCTCTCCTGGCTGATGGAGTTGCTCACCAACAGTCTCACTTTCTCAATTACCCTTTTTCCATTAAGGACCCGTGTTCGGCTCCGTTTCCCAGCACGGCGCCGTCCCATGTGGAACCCTTTTAACAACAAACTTTATGACCCATGTTGCCTCTATGTCAAGCTGTACACACAATTCTTGGGAATGGAGTGTGTGTCTGCCACTGTGTAACACAAACAGGCGGTGATTGTGTTTGTTACATGTTTTGACACTCAAATGGAGAGAGGGTATTGATAATGGAGAGAGGGTAAGGAGGCTGTGACAAAATGATCAGTACAGCTTCATATTACATGCAGGCTCAGATCATGTGTGGCATTCAATTAACAACCATGTAATAAGCTGTAATATTTGTAGGGCTGCCCCTGACTAAGAATTTTCCTAGTCGACCAATAGTCGTCATTTAGGGCCATTAGTCAACTAGTCTCCTGCATGTTTATGATATTTTAATGTAATTATTAAATGATATATTTTGGTGGTTTGAGTTGAAGGTGTGAGAAAGAATAGTATCAGTAACATTGTTAACACTGTGCTACATTACAGAGAAATACAAAACCGTACTAATGAACCTTCATTAATATAGGCCTATATTTTATCTCCAAGTGCACGTCACACACTGAGCGAGCCGCCTGTTAATGACACTGTGGGCTAATGGGCATGTAGCTACTTCCATGTTTCAGATGATACGTCATGTTTGTAGTCGACCAATGAAGATGAGTTTACATATCACCTTGGGTTCGTCCTTCACCTTCTCAAAATGATCCCACACTTTGGATTTCCTGCCCGACATGTTATTAACTAGCCTGTGGAATAACCGCAGGTACCAGCCCTGGAAATTAGAGGTCGTACACATGCCATGTCTGGAGAACATGAGGTTCGGCGCTGGGAGCTATTCTTGTGCCTTTATTGTGCCAGCTTTCAAGTGTGTGGCGGCAGGTTGCGTCTGAGATTGCTAAGCAACCTTAACAAGCACTGTATCATAGCCTGTTTACCTGAAATCCTGAGTGCAGAGCTGATCTTCCTCCAGGAGCTGTTTATAAGCGTGTAGGTCTATCATCCATGGGACAGATGTAAAGCTCTGAGTAGCCCTGCACTAACATGATCAACTTTTCCATGTTTATCAGACTGAATATTTACAGAAGAAGGGAAAGATTTCTGTTGGCTGTGATTGGTTTGTAACGAGACTCCTGTCTGACTGCTGAGCGTGGCCACTTCCTGTGCCTATCCTTTCAAAGTAAATTCCCACATGCTCCAGTCATTTTTCTGCAACTAAGTGACCAATATAATCTTGCCGACTAATGACCTTTCTGGTCGACTAATGTTTGGCCGACTACTATGGGGGCAGCCTTAAATATTTTTATGTCCGATTTAAAGGAGGAAGGGGAAATATCACTTTTAAAAAGGACCACACAGCTACAGAACTGTGCTGAATGTCATCTAATCAAAGGGACTGCAAGTCTGCATCTTCACTCATAAGTTAGCTTGAAAATATTTATACTTTGTGTTCAAGGTGAGCTTGAAAACCAGACTAGACTTGCTGCAAAAAAAAAAAAAAAAAGAAAAAAGAATTCAAATAGACATTAAGCTGTACTCTTCAAAATGAATATCCGGTGAGGGGGCACAGGATGCAGTCTGATCTGGAAAAGCCACTTTGTAAGAGCTGAAGTGAAGGACCACTATGTGGTCAAAACATCAGATTATTTATTAAAAATCAAATTATAAAACCTCAGCAGTGGAAATGGTTTTGGCTGTGAGCAGTAAAGAGGACAGCAGGGGCTGTTTCCGTTCTTCATCCCTCTCCAGACCTTTGGTCACTGAGTCAATACACTGGCAACCCTTTTAAAGGACGGTAGATCTGCGTCCGACATGCGTTTAGAGCTCAGTGAACAAACAAACACACACACACACACACACACACACACACACGCACACACACGTAATAGCTGTCTTTCTTCCTGGGCACCCACTTACTTCTTCCTTCACCACTGTAGATGAAGGACATATTTTACACAAACAAACACAACTCCAAGTCCTGTAACATTAAAGCCTTGTTTGTTTGCTGTGGTTCTTCATTAAAAAGCTTTTCATAAACTGAACCAAACATCTACCATCTGCCTCCCTCTGTGTCTCTCAGACCGAATCGCCCAGAACAGGAAGACCATCGTGTGTCCAATGATTGACGTCATCGACCATGACAACTTTGGCTATGACACGCAGGCGGGGGACGCCATGCGAGGAGCGTTCGACTGGGAAATGTACTACAAACGGATACCCATCCCTCCAGAGCTGCAGGGGGATGACCCCAGTGAACCCTTTGAGTGAGTGGCAACACACTTTACTTAGATTAAATTGTATTTTATCATTGATGGTAACTTTGTTTCATACTCCTCCAACAGGTTTCACTCATCATCTCTCCTTCTAACGTGTTGATGTGTTAAAAGAGTCTGTCTGGTATCTCCTTGCTGTTTCCCTTAATCACACTAAGAGAAAAATACACCCCTCCATGTGGCCAGGATGACTTTTAGTGGAGGTGATGTCATTGCATCATTTACCACATGTCGGCTGACATCCTGAGCACTCACTGGATGTGCTGTAGAGACAGAAAAAGTGTGTAGGAGGTGGGGACAGGCTAAAAGTCAGTGTTTCATTACTGAACTATAACTGCGAGCCCAGCATGGAGGCAGCCCATGTGCTTGTACACCAGTCAGTACAGTGGAAGCCAAAAAGCCACTTCACTGGTGCACTCTTCTAACTATAGCTAGACACTGTGTCAACACATGAATTAAACATTGTGCTCAGTGGTTCTCAGACTTACAGCCACACAGTTGTACCACAGCACTCTACATGTGAGACACCTATGAACAGGTGCCAAATGCCTATTTGTGATTCTTTTCCCCCTTATTAATATGTATAACCTATATACTGTGGACTGGAGTCACTTTATCAGCTACAGCAGACCTTTTCTGTGTTGCAGACAGCTAATTAAATGCCGCAAATGGCCTTCGCCTGTTCCTCCTTGCCTCCTGTCCCGTGTGGCAGTGGGGGAAGGGAGGAAGGAAGGAGTGCATGTTTATGTATGCCATACCCAGAAAAACAAAGTCTCACTAGTTTGAGTGTGAAATTTGATTTCCTCCATGCACAATATCATCTCTGAGGATAATTAGGGCTGCACAATGTGTTGTTTTTTAATGCAATATTAGCTTTCTTGATTAATTAATACAACACACGAAGGCTGAAGTTTCTACAGCTGGTAGCTCCATCTACTCCTTTGATTCACTTTGTCTCAGTGGTAATTAAGTCCATTCCCTTGTAATGTTTCAAACTAATGCCTTGTGCTCAAAATTATACTAATATAGATTTAGACCTTATTTTTTTTAGCAGAGGGTCATTATTCCAAGCAAAGTCAAACACTTGTGTGTGCAGCTGCTTTACAGTAAAACCATTTCAGCAAATGGGAATTTAGAACACCGTCCACACCAGACGTGCCTGTCAGATCAGACTCATCCACCTAATTCTTTATTTATACAGCTGTCTGCACCATGAAAGGCAAAAACCATGCAAAAAAGCCTTGTCTGGAATGCTGCTTTGTTGCACGATAAAAGTTGGTATAGTGGTTATACACTATACTGACCAAAAGTATGTGGACATGCGGTCAGCCATCAGTGTGCTTTCAAGACCTTTTTCTCAACATGACAAAGCCCCTGTGCACAGAGCCAAACAGAGCCACTCACACATGCACATCGTTTAGCTGTAGCAGTAATTTAGAGACCCATCAGGATAGCACAACCACAGCAGGTACAGCAAACAATGTTTTACTTACATTACAGAAAAAGAACAAGTACTGTGAACAAGCTGCTTGAGTGTTAAAGACAACACTGTTTGTCAGATGCATTAAGATATATAAATATATAAGTAAGAATGTAGAGAGTAGTACAGTACATATGTTTCTGTAATCACAGCTACATTCATTTCATCCTTTTCACCCTTGGAGAAAGAAAACTTAAGAAACCTGGCTGTTATCACCACGGGACTCGTATCTGTGCTCACTGCTCATGAGGCGTGGGAAGCCCCAGAGTGTTTCTCACTGCTGACAGTACAGTAGCTGCCCTGTTTGCCTTTAATTGATCCTCCTCAGGGACGACTTTGGCGAGAGCAGACTACCTGCTGGCTGCTTGCCTCCAACGTCTACCTGATGAAAAGCTTGTAACTATGACAACCTGGTGCACCTGCAAGCATGTATGGCGATATTTCTGCACTGAGGAGGACGGCATTTATTTTGGGGGAAGAGGAAAAATAAAAAAGAAGAGAAAAATTCAATTGTGTTTTGAGTGATTGTTAAGATCAGTGTCACAGTAATCGGGTTACAGACACACACATGTAGGGAGAGTCTGGTTTCTCACAAGAGTATAAGTATACATTTGTGTGTCTGCACCTCTTGCCCCAGTTTTTCTGCCTCAGGTGTGCTGCAGCTACAATCACGTACAGCAGCAACACAACGGCTAACAAGCCCTGCACTCAGCAGCACAGAGCTTGTCACAGCAGACAGAAGCCACAGTGCTCTATAGTAGGTTAATTGGTTCTGCACTGCTAAGTGCATCTTCATTATCTGGTGAGAAATAGTGCCGCCATAAATACATGAACTCTGGCTCGCTGTCTGCATCTCTGTGTTGTTTTCTTGCTCCTATTCAGACCTTTTTTTGTTCTTATTTTTGTTATATGAGTTTTCAATCCTGTAGGCTTACAAAGATGGCTCAGAAAAGTTTGATTCTCCCTCACGGTGGACAGCAGCCGCAGTCAGCTTGGATTTAGAGCAGTTGCAGTGGATTCCAACCGAGACCCAGAAGCACAGCAAAGAACATAAAAAACTTTCAAACCACTCCTGCAGCACAATCCACTATTCAGCCTATGATTCATAAGTTTAGTTTGTTTCAAGCAAACTAAACAGTTGTATGGCTGATGTTGCTTCAATGGTTTTGTTTGCTGTATGCTTTCAGGTTGAATTAGGGATGTGGCATACAGACCCTGGTTTGGTACGTTTAATTGGATAGATACGATTAGTTCCGAACCAAATTTCTTGGTTACTGGTGAACATTTATATCTCCATCATTTTATAGACACAACAACACAAGGGACTTTTCTGTACAGCAGCTTTGGTTTACTTCAAACCTCATTTGAATGTCATATAACCTTGTGAAACACCGATAAACCTTGCACCACCCATAAGAAGTTACAAGGATGAAGTTTTCAAAGTGCCTTATGATTCAGTGTCTGTCATCTGCTTATTTCTACCTCTATTTCTCTCCTGAGAAGTCCCTGCTGTAGACATTTTTTGACATTTCAGATGTTCGAAGTGATGATTTCTGATTGTCTCCTCGCTGTCTCTCTCTCCATCTTTGTTCATTTGACTCTGTTGAAGTGATGAGTTCAGGGATCTTGTTAGTACTTGCAGCAGTTTGTGAGTAAATCTTGCATCTATTCAGATGTTTTCTTTAGTAGGTGAGAAGTGGAAAGTGATGCTGCCGCTCTGCACAAATGGAACGGCTTCTGTTGTACAAAATGCACTGCAAATAGTGAGTGTGTGTTGTATTTTGTGTGTCCTGCAGGTCACCAGTGATGGCAGGTGGGCTGTTTGCTGTGGACAGGAAGTGGTTCTGGGAGTTGGGAGGATATGACACAGGTCTGGAGATCTGGGGAGGAGAACAGTACGAGATCTCCTTCAAGGTACAAATGATCAAAGTCAACAGTTAAATTGCAATTAAACACACTTTTCTATATTTTGTGCACAAAAAGTACAATAATTTTTCTCTTTGTTCATTAACCACTGGCTAATTTAATGCTCTTTTATTGTTATTTAAATTTCAATTTATGCTGCAGATAGGATGTCTTGAATTTACTGTTTTTACTCAACACTCTATAACCAACCATTCTGACACTGTTTTACTCTGTCATTGCATTAGGGTCAATCACATAATAATAATGATAATATATATCCTCTTAGATATTAATTTAGTTCCCAAATAATCCTATTATTGTCTTTTCTTCTCTTTCAAGGACACCCTCTTTGTTTTGAGTCCTGCTCTATTTTTAATGTTCCCCTTCAAATCCATTAGAATTTCCCTCTGGTTACTCTTCATCCACATTTTCAGTAGCTCAGCAGCATTAAAAACCCAGGCAATGGTTATTCACGTCTCAAGAAGTATTTTCACTTTTAAAAAAACTAGGATGTCTATGCAGTGGAATGACGCAAACACTTTTGAAAGTGGTGCTACATAACAGTAACACAAAAAAAGGCGGTTTTGCAAAAGAGGGAGAAAACCCAAAACTACCAGAATGCACAGCGGTGCGCCAGACCTATAAATGCTCCTGCTGGTGGGTGACGAAATGCAGGCACGTCTGTTTGACACAATGGCAGCAGATCGGCAAAAAACGATCTCGTATTACAGTTAAATAGTAAGCTAAAACATGTTTCTGGAAACATTTGTATATTTGTTTATATTTGATCAGCACTGTCTAGTTTTACCATTTGATCTCAGTTTTTTCAGCCTCCATTTTCACTGCGCAGGAAACACCATGGTGCCCGCTTAACACAACACTAAAATATGTTTCTAAAAACATTGTAGGAGAGAAATAGGCAATACAGTAACATAATCATGATACATATTCAATTAGCATTGCTTGGTATGAACATTTAATTTGATTCGGTCCGAGTTTGAGAAAGAGAAAGTGAGGGGGAGGTCCGTCTCTTCTGCTTCTATACTGTTTGTTTCCGTAATGGCGACATGGGTGAGGTAATACGAAAATGTGGAAGTACAGCTTTTTGTTCGAGCAACAGTCCTAGAGCTTGCAGCACTCGGATGACGGGGGCGAGGAGGGATAGCTGGGTACTGGTTAGATGGAAGGACGTTTACCACAGTTGATTTACATATACTACCCAAAATGTTTTAATACAAAGTTGGTTACAAAATCAGCAGGTGTACCCTTTAAAGACCAGATTCAGCATCAGGGAAAGTTTAAGAAAATGGAGGAAGAATGTTCATGGGACCATTCTTCTTTTCTCCTCACTTCTAATTAAGCAAACCTTTTTGTGATCATGTTCTCTCCATCAGCCAAAATCAGTGACAGAGCTTACAGAAGAAGACAGTCTGAATATCCCCTTTTGGTTTTCCTGATGAGGATTTAAAGAAAAAAAAAAAACTCAGACAGCTTTAGAAACAGTTATGGAATTGGTAGTGGTCCCATCCCATCCCACAACAACTTGAAACCATCTCCTTGGAGCTTGTTGTGTAGCTGACGTCTGACCTTCATGTTTTGGGTTTTACCAGAGAAGAATATTCCCTAATGTCCATCAAAAAGACTTGCTTTTCTACTTGTTTTAAAATTATTATTTTTTTATTTCAATATATAAAGTTTTTACAAGAGGGTGCTGCTTTCTGTTTTGTTTCCTCTTTCCTACTGGTTCTTTTAATCGTGACTATAATCTTTCCCTGATTTCAACCAAGTCGTTTTTGTGACTAAACATATCCAAACCTTAGCCAATGCAGTGGTGGATCAGAGGAAATTCATGTGAGGTTTCTTTGAACAGTCATTTGTAACAGCTGTTGGAAGTCAGTGACATCCTTGTGAAAGCAGTGTTGCATTAGAAAATGCTCATATGGGTTGTTTTGGAAGGCAACAACGTATTTTGTCGATGCACTTTAACAACTGTTCCAATGGCGGTGTTAATCCTGCAGATATCAAGAGTTAAAGGGGGCTCAGTAATCTCAAACCCATTTCCAACACAATTTCCTGCGGGTATATAATCAAAGAAAATCGATTCCGAAACCTGAGGCACTTAGAACTGTTCCTCTACACTGTAATGCAAAAGTATAATTCCACCTTAAACCAAAAATGTAAAGCTAACCCTGCAATTGATCTCTTTATTTTGAAACCGTGAGCAAAAGATGAGGAATTTGGAAAAGCTGTGACTATAAAACAGTAGGCCTTCGCCAACATAGGCCATGACCCAGAGATGAGCCTGACGCAAAAACTCTTCTGTTTTAGTGCTGTTTTGAAGTGTTTCATCTTGTTTAAGTAATTACTGAGATAATATCCGATACCAAGGTTATTAGTTTGGCCAAGCTTATCATACTATTAAACTTTGCTATCAGCACATGCCTAGCTGTGCGTCTTAAGTCTACTTTATGCCCTCAGATATTCAATTTGGTATCCTTTTTATTAAGATCCCCATTAGCTGATACGGAGCAGACAGCCAGTCTCCTAAGGTGAAAAGATTAACAGGCTCTCATACTAATCCTTACATCCAAACTGCTGCTCCCACAGACAGCCTGGCCCTGCTCGCATGTGAAACACAATCACTTCATTCACGGGTACAGCTAATCTAAAGCTCCGTCCTGGTCACACTGCTATGTGGGAACGTCGAGCATTTTCAACTCACACAGTGAAATAATGTCAGCACATGCAGGCATACAGAGCACAGTGATAATATGACCTCACATGCTGAGCCAGAGGATAGTGCGCGGCATAAAACTGATGGATTTTTTTTTTTTTTTAAATCGCCCCGGCAGATTGTAGCTTCAGTTGTGCAAACATTTCTCAGAGACAGAGCTGCTCTCGAGGAGGAAATAATTAAACCTCTGTGGATGGAGCCAAAAAAAGGAAAAAGTTATTCAGAGTAAAAATTAAGTGGCATAAAGATGGCAGAAAAACTTTCTAAAAGCATATATTAAAAAAAAAATACATAACGTTTTTTTTTTTGCTGTTGCTGTTTTGTTTATTCATGTAACTTCAGTCCTATTACTCATATGAACCATATTCCATTTAGAAACCTATTAGAAAATAAATAATAATAATAATAATTGCTTGACATTTTTACAAGATGCAAATGGCATTGATTTGACGTCATGGCGCATTTATTGTCATAATAATAAATATGCTTTGCGAACATCTAAATCTGAGTTTCTAGTTTTCTTAATGGCTGTCTGCTTCCTAAAATTATTTGAGATTAAAGCCTTGGGTCAGGCTCATTACTAGCTTGGTCTAATCAGCACTGCTGTGTTGGACAGAGCTGGAAGTGATAACGGGGCGAGGGGTATATTCTGTGCAGTGGGTAAAGTAGTCCAATGCCTCATGGCCCATATCCTGATTTTACATTTATTGCTGCCAGCCTTGGTTATTCATGTAGTGGAAGCTTTCAAACCACCCAGACATAACCAACAAGTTTTCACTGCCCTTTGTTGACATCATTGCCACTGCAGCACAGCCACTCTCAATATGGTTTGTTGCAGATGAAGTTCCACCACCAGTGAACCAACTCAGATCACAAGAGTGTAAACAGGCTCAGCTGATAGAAACAGAACAACACACTTCACTCCGACTGTATGAATAAAACATAATGCTGTAAGACAAAATCCAGCACTGACTAAAAATGTAACTTAAACTTGAATTGTCTGTATTGGTGTCTTTAAATCAATAAAACATTAACACATAGTTCAGTATATGCTAAACGAGGAATTTTGAACATAGGCTGAATTAAAAGGCCACAGTAGCCTTAAACAGCGGATCTAGTTTTAGCTGAAGAGCAAATGTGCATTTTTCAGTAGAAAGGTCCCAAGGTTCATTCTCTGGGGACCATGAATATTAACTAATTTTTGCAGTTGTCTCCAATGAGAGTTAGGGCTTTTAGCTGGCTGCTTTTGTGTTTCTGAAGGCATTGCATTTTACTGCTTTATATGCCTCCCATTGTGTCCTGAATGAAAACTTCAACTCAACACAGAAAATTGCCCAACGTCATATGGTTTTACCCACTGTCCGGTCAATTGTGATATGCCCAGAAACAAAGGGGGGGAAAATGCAACAAGTTGTTGTTTTTAAGTCTTTAATATTATAGGCTTTAATCATGAACAGATTAATGACTGGGCCTAACGGGCACAGACCCAAGGGCACAAAGTATCCATTGCCCCCTTGGCCTTCATCTGCTGTAAAATTTCACTCAAATTACTGTATGCGTACAGACCAGGAAGAGACTTGAATTGACCAGAAAGAGATGCAAAGGGGCTGCAAAGAGACAGAGAATAACCAACAAAGACACAAAACCACAAAAAGATGCATAATGAGTGTAGCTCTCTTGAAAATGAAAGTAAACACAAAATGATGCTCAACGCCGACATGAAACAAAAGGATATTTTACAAGTTCAATAAATACCAAAGTGAAAAGAGGTTTAAAGTCCTTGAAAAGTCCTTAGAAAGTTTCTTGGAGCTTGGAGTCCCTTAACTATCTGCTAGAGCTTCAGACATGAACATAACTTGAATGAATACAATAGCAGAGGCTGATGAGACAACGCACACCTTGCATTGTATATAGTTCCACGTTGAACTTGACCACAACGGAACTGCAAACAAGGAACATTAGTTCCGGGCAAAACTGTACAATATAAGCAATGAACTAATGCATTATGTTGTTACAACATTTGTAGTAATTCACATCAACTTTTACCTGTTTCACATCAGATTTTAAGACATCAGTTTTAACCTGACATCAAATTAATTATGTATTTATTTGGGTATTCATTGCACGAAATTATGACGTCACTTATCACTGTATCATGAACTCAGAATCTATGAAACAGCACTAACAATGACCACAAAGAGATGCAAAACAATACCAAAAAAGAGCCAAAACCATTTTTTTTCCTGGATGGGTCAAAACCTTTGGGCCCATTTGAAACACATGGCCCAGCCATTGCAGTCACGTCTGCCTTATGTCACCAATGATGTTATGTCTGTAAAGTTCCAAGGCTGCTGTCCTATTAGGCCAGAGGATGCCGTTATATCATTTTCTGCCCATGTTCTCAGCAGCTTCAGCCTGCCTCTAACCTTCGAATAGCCTATTAAAGGAACGCTGTGCAGAAACAATTTGGAAGTGTTACCCCTCTGTCTTCCCAAATTTAACTTGTTTGTTTTCATGTTTAAATCCAGCTTTTCATTTCCCCACTTTTCATATTGCTATTGTCTTTAAAACAAAACCCTTTTCCCATCTCGCCGGCTGTCTCTAAGTCCTTCTTTCATCGTCATCCTCCATGCCTCCCTTTCTTTCTCAAGGTTTATTTTCAACGTCGCAAGCCAAGAAAAAGAATCCTCACTGTTGTCTCTATTATATTTGAAGGATTAAAATGAGGAGCCACTGCTGGATGTCTCTGGTCTGTGCGATAGACAAGGGAAATGAAAATAAACGAGATAAAATTGCTGGAAATAAAGGTTTGTTTTTTACTTGCGACAAGCACATTAGAGTTCTTAAAACTTAAATCTAATTGTATAATTTTAATGTTTCAAACCGGCAGCATGCACTGATTTTCCCGAGGAGCCAGTTTGCAGTTTCTATTGTTTCTTCATAGTCAGCTAAATTTAAGCACTGTCATAAGATACTGTACCAAAGACTTATACCCCAGCCTTTCTCTTATCTGACCCTGCTGCTCAGGTGAAGTCAGGTCACTATCATATCATAATTTGCTTTTGGTGTCTTCTCTTCTTCCTCCACTATCCTGCCATTTCATCTTTATTGCCTCTTCTTCCAAATTCACTCCTCTCTCCTCCTATTCTCCCAGGATTTATAAGCCTGTTAAATCCACTGTACTATATGCATCTTTCTTCATAGCCATCAGTCTCCTGCTCATCTCCTAGATTGTCTCCTTCCTTCACCTTCCTTTACCTTTCCACAACATTCTGTCTTTGTATGCTGAGCTGGACAAAGGTTCTATATACAACAGAGATCAGTCTGATGAAAGAGCTGTCTCGCTCTCTGTGTGTCTCTGTAGGTGTGGATGTGTGGTGGTCGGATGGAGGACATCCCTTGCTCCAGGGTAGGACACATCTATAGAAAATACGTCCCCTACAAGGTCCCTGGTGGGATCAGCTTGGCGAAGGTAATTCTTCACGCTGTACTGTATGCCTCCGTGGTTCATACAAATACAATACAGCAGATCAGTCACAGATTTTCCATGTACTATAACAGTCTGATACGGGGGCGCAGTGTTAGTACAATGCTGTCACATCACCTTTGTTACAGCTATTTCACAACAATGGATGTGTTTTTTTTTTTTTTGTTTTTTTTTAAATTTTTTTATAGTAGTATTCATCTGTAAGACAGCAGGGCAATCGAAGCACAATGGATCTGTATTGGCTGTTCCTCTTAGAAATCCAAAAGCTTGTCTATGGGTCCCCATAAGGTTTTATTTGATGATTATTATATGCATGCAACTGCTGTATTTACTGTGTTGAAGTGGTTTACTCATTCAACTTATAGTTCCTTGCAGTTCCATTGATGCTGATGATTTACAACCACGACAAATGGTTTAATAATCGCTTCTGTCAGACAAATAAACAACAACAAATTAACAGTCATAAACTCATTTCTAAGCGTTATGTTAATCCATAGATCAATATTATCCCAACAGAAATGGTCCTTGTGCAGTTCTCATACACTCCCAAAGGTCCAAACAATATAAATCCAGTGAACTATTAAGTCCAAAAATATTATTACATTCATAGACATCCATGAACTGCCATTGCATCATTTCAGATGTTCATATTTCTCTATATATTATCCATAATTTCTTCCATTCACATGGAAATGTGCCTGTTACTTGATGTTAACATGGAGGTGAACTCCTGACCTTTTCATTGACACCTCACTTAAGCCAATAGGAGCTTTCAGTGCTGTTGCTATGGCTAGATAGCCAAAGAGGATCTGTGTTGAAGGCAGAATGCATCCCTCACACTTCCTGGTCTCATAGCCAATCAAAAGCCATAAACTTATGCAGGAGGTTTGAACTCCTTGCATCTGATTGTTGAAAATGCACAGAAATGCTAAATAAATGGCTACTCTGTTATCTTAAGGGGAAAAGGTTTTTTAAATATTCAATTAAGTTGAATTAAAACCTTTTATTGAAACTTATTCGACTCGATAACAGAAACACATACAGTGATTCTTGACTATGGGGGAGAAAACATTCAAATGTGAACTTTCAGATGAGGCCATGCACATGCCTATTCTAAAAATGGAACAAGAAGAGCCTTCAATTTACTTAAGGTATGCCATTGATTGGTATTTTCGTTGTATTTAGGTACATTTTAGAGGACTTGTAAGAGGTTTAAAGGTTAAACATTTGAGATCCTATGTTTGTATAATCATGTTAGCACTGGTGGCATAAAACAAAGGGTACATCTGATGTCTGACACTCCTTTGAGCTCCACTAAGAGAAGTGGAACCTATAGTATGTGTAATGTTTGTGCCTCTGATTTAGCAACATTTCTGAGGTGCCCCACACTACAAAACTCCATATTTGAACTGAATTATGTGGATCATCAGGGGATGAATATAGGTCAAACCTAACTAATCAAAGGTCCTTACACTGAGAGTATAGGACAAAATACAAAATATAACAGGAAACCATATAAAACAGCTGTAATGCAGGCTATATTGTGATACATAAATTCCATGTCTTTAGTTTTACTAATTTCAGACAATTCCTGCAGTTTTATATTGCACTTTCATAAAGGTGCAGGTCTTAAAAGTATAAAAATATTGGTCCAAATTAATGTTGAGGTTGAGAAACTTTTAGTGCCGTGTATTGGCCAAGCTCCCAAAACCCTGGATCTTACACTCTAATAAAGCAATTCAGTCTTTTTGTTAGACAGTACCTGCCTTACAAAAATGAACAATATTCAGTCTAAATGCCCCAGGTTTGTAGAGCAGGTTTGTCAAGAAATTATAGTCTCTAAGCCCAAGCTTGACCCTGAAGACATCATGAAGACTTTCTCAGGGGTTATTTTTCATCATAGTTGATAAAGCTCCTTTTAGAGCCACTGAAGACATTGCGCAGCCGTTTTACAGGCTGAGTGGTTTGAAGTAGTAATAATAGCATTTTTTTTTTCCTGAGATGGAGGACTGGTTCATTTTAATACCGCCCATTCATCAGCTCTGAATGTTACAATTCCATTGTAAGGTAATCTTTGCCTTTGAAAGGCGCAGACTGCAAAGCTCATTCACAGCAACAATACATTATCTCACATGTTTATAACAGTCCCATTATAGTCGCAGTTCCTCTTTATTTCATGGCTCTTTATTTGTTCATGTGTCTCTTTAAAAAGCTGTTATCAGTAAGGTTTATTGATTAAACAAACAATAAATGAGGCAAAATCCAATTATCCTCGTGCTATATTAAAAGTGCCATCTTATCAGCAAAACTGATTTGAACTTTATTAGTATTCTGCTGCATCACACACGGGGCTCTTCAGCATTTAAATTACAGTTAAATTAAGTTCACGCAACAGCAAAAACAGCATATTTGGATTTGTGCTGAAATATGACTTGGTGTTAAACCAAATTTATCTCAGGAAATACTTTGGTATTGGAGTAAAAGAGATTTGGGGAAGTCATTTTTTATGCAAACACAAACAAACAAAAACTGTAAAAGCAACTTATGTATCCTTAAACAGTGAAACTGAACCAAAATTAGATGTCGCTGGATATATGACTTAACAAGAATGAGTGAGTGAACCTTTGTCTAATCAAGCTTAAGCACACAAATAAACAGACAGTTACATACAGTTACAAACATCATCCCAGCGAGTCTTTAAGTGGTGCGCTTTAACAAATGACAGCGTTTTTCCTTCGTACGTCCTCTACTAAGTACTCTCCTCTTTCTCCTCCATGCTCGAGAGCACTTTACAGTCGGCTCAGCAACTACTAACAAAAGACCACCAGACGAGAGACAGTGGTATGCAGTGTATCCACTATCTACAACTTATGGCCCTTGCAGGTGTTGCTGTGAAGAATGAGCTTAAGTTTCTTTGTTCCTTGTACACTTCAAAGTACTTACACAGAATGAGAAATTGTCTAAAAGCGGTAAATCATCTGGGGTGTAGCCGAGCACCATTCGTTATGTATGCCTCTGTCACAGCCTGGAGCATGGCTCAGTATGCAACGGAAAGGCGCTGGCCTTTGTTTTGACTTTCTATTCTGACCAACAGTCTTTAAACTGGACCTCAGTGGAATGCTGATGGTCCTGAATCAGCCTCAGCTGAAGGAGAACATTTATAGAAAGGTACTAAAAATAAATTCTCTGCAAAAAGTGAAATAGCCGTTTCATTATCAGGGATGCACTTTTTTTTTTTTACTTTATTCTTCAAACTTTTCCATTTGATTGAAGTGCTGCAGTACTCCAGCTAAACAGATAAGGTCAGCTTGAATTCAGTTGGATCAACATGAATTTCAGTGGTAAAGAGTTTTAACAGCTGCAGCAAAGTAGAAAAATGTTGCTGTTAAGTTGGGTTATTCTGAGGCACAGTCAATAAATGGATTCCATTGTCGGAGTAGACTCCCTGAGGCCAATCTACAATACTAACAGCAGACTATGTAAACATTTATGTTCACAAAACAGTCCAATGTGGTTCCACAAGATCAACCTCACTGCCAAGGATGGTGGGATTTTGTGTTTATTTGTGGGAGACTCAAAGACATTCTGTCAGACTTCAGATCCCTGCTGGGCTGTTTAGTGAATGCATATATGCGGCTGACTCGCTCTTTGATTTGATTTCAGAACCTAAAGCGTGTGGCAGAGGTATGGATGGATGAATACGCCGAATACGTCTACCAGCGTCGGCCCGAGTACAGACACCTGTCAGCGGGTGATATGACGGCCCAGAAGGAGCTGAGGAACCGCCTCAACTGCAAGAGCTTCAAGTGGTTCATGAGCGAGGTGGCCTGGGATCTGCCCAAACACTACCCAATGGTGGAACCTCCTGCTGCTGCATGGGGAGAAGTAAGGAAAAGTTTAGGAAACTAGTGTGGGGAAACAATGTCCAAGCGAGATGTTAGATTCAACGACTGCATGGAGAGGAAAATGTACAGAGGAATATACACAAATTTGGATTCATCAATCCCAGCTGGCCACCAACACCATTCAGTGCTATAATTTGGTTGAATATAGATTGTGATGTTAAGTGACCAAAATCCAATGTCAGGACAATGCCTGATGCTACCGTCAATTTTACGTAGAATACTCACAACAGATGATGTTGAGTTTGTTGGTTTTATTGTTGTGTTGGTAATTAATCTGACACCTTCCAAACAACATTTCGTCGCAGGGTATGGACAACAAAACCCAATTTCCGCAAATCATCATGATGTTAAAGTCCACATCACAAAAAATTCCAATGTTGATATTTTAAAAATTCTCAACTTGATTTTCCCTTCAACCAAAATTTAATGTGTCTGACGTAAGAGTCCAGTGTCTTTCTGAAGTGATACTGACATCTGGTGAGAGCTGGGTTTTACCTTAATTAACTTAACTTACACTGTGTCTCAAATCATGTACTTCTGTACTTGCACTTAATATTTTGAGTGCATAAGTGCGTTCACACTGAGAAGTATGGAAAAATGCAGTGCACTATGAGTACCCGGATGGTGCACTCAAAACGGTCAAGAAGTTGAGTGTGGAACTATGGACACTTCTCGCCCTCAATGGTCGCCATCTTGGCTACGTAGCGGAAGGGGAGGGACCACTTTTAAAACTGGAAATGGCGGCCGAGGACTGTGTGACCGTGAGCGTCGCTGCATTGTACAAATACATGTGTTTTTTGCACTAAGCACCACTATACTGTTGTTGGGTATAAGCCAGCAGTATGTTTATTGGGTTAATTTAGCAGTCTGTAATGATTTGGTACCGCAAACGATAACACGAATGCTAATGCTAGTTTGCTAACAAGCTAATTTGCGGTAGTCATTTCCGGTGAGTGCACAACGGCTGTGTTTGGTTTGAGACAACACTACCCTGTCGAAATTTGCGCACTACGCCAATAAGTACATAGTGCACACAGTATACTACATGGAAGTGTACTAACTGAAGTATGTGATTTGAGACACAGCATTATTCTTAATTCAGATTCAGATTCAGATTCAGAATACTTTATTAATCCCGGGGGGAAATTGTTTTTGTTCCAATGCTCCGTGCAAAGTAGAAATAGAAATACAGCATGAATGGAAACAAGAGATAAAGATGAAGATATAAATAAGATGCTAAAATAGACAATGAAATAAATAAAATAAAATATTAAAGTAGACATTAAAATAAAATAAAATAAAATAAAATAAAATAAAATATTAAAGTAGACATTAAAATAAAATAAAATAAAATATTAAAGTAGACAATAAAATAAAATAAATAATAAAATAGTAAAGTAGACAATCTGAAATATAACAAGTATCAATGAAAAGCTGCTGGGATGGATAAGACCTTAGAAAGTAGCACATCTTTAGTTCTTGAACACATCATTACATCAAACTTTATAGCCTTTTATTTGCACATTTCATCATTTCAGAGATGTACTGTATATGCTCAAACACACACCTGACTGACAGGTGATTGGGAGAATGAAGTCCTCGGACAATAAGGCATGAACTCCCACCCATTATCAGCACTAACAAATCTGTTTTTCAAGTTTCTCTACCTCCCTATGATTTTCAGAAATTTTAAGAAAATCTGCAGGAACAAAAGTAAGAATAACAATAACAGAGGTCGGAGGAAATGAGCATAAAGTGCTCCTTTGCTAAAAGCAAAGTTAAAGCAGTGATTTTTGAAAATGTCAGTGGTTTCTACCTCCCCTTAAATCATCTGGAGAACCTTTGAATACCTAAAGGCTTCTTTTCCATCTCTGGAACTCAGAACACCCTAACAGATTAAAATGAGTGCATTCACCATGACCATAGTTGGTGAGCTTATCATTATTATTCAGAGTCAAGTCGTGGTAGCACAGTATTGACAAATCTATGAACTGCTTCCTTCAGTCTACCTTTGTCGGTGAATTCAGAGATGGACTTTATGCATGTACTGTAGGTTGTTAAAAGTATTGTGTGTACATACAAGAAATGGACTGCAAATCTCATCCAACTAAGGTCGGTGGAGACATGTATCTAAAGCTGGACATGGGAAGGAAAACAATTTCTCTACTAGTGATGCTGTAGCAGAGTTACATTTATTGGTGTGAGGATTTGATAGGGTTGCGAAGCAGTCTGTATGTAGCACAAACACTACATGATGCAAGTGTGCTGCATACAAAGGTGAACATTGCAAGGCACATATCATGTTCAATTCAACACAGGATTTTGACTTAACAAAAATGGAGGACTAGAGGGAGTTTTCCACGTTGCAAAAGGGGTGAATCAAGCTGGAGATAGCGATAGCAAAATTCTCAGTGGAAACAACAGACAAGAAACAGTGATGAAACATGTTTGCAATAACACAGCATTTTTCTGCCTTCTCCTCCTGCATGTTGCAACTATCATCAGAGAATTTTGGGTGCACACCCAGGGGCCAAACATGCCTTTGGGCCCTTCTAAGAATGTGAAAAAAAACAAAAACATTAAATTTCTGTGGGTGCAAACGGCAAACTGACATCACAGAGTCCTCTAGAATGCAGGTACATTTTCAGTTGGGATTTTCAAAAAAGAGGTGAAATCAAATAATTGTTACAGAAGGGCACAAGTAAAAGTGGATATACTGAAATAGGGTCATTTTAAGCAGATCTAAAGCCAGTTTTTACCCAGATGTCATTTTATAGATACTAAAAGTGAGAAGAAATGTTGGTGAAATACAGTGGGGAATGTTCTCCAAGCAGGGCCTCAAACTAACACACATACACACACACACACGATCTTTAATAAATCAGTGTTTCACGTTGGTACAGTTTCAATTAAAAACACGGGGGCTCATGAAGGCTTCATTCCGATTTGGCTGGATTACAAACAGCATCTGATGGGACCTGTTCCATGACTGTCCATGACTAAAGAGCACTCCCTGTTGTTGTGACTCGTGTTCATGTGTGTGTTTTTTAGATCCGGAATGTGGGTAGTGGGATGTGTATGGAGATCAAACACTTTGTGTCAGGGAGTCCCATCCGCCTGGAGAGCTGTGTGAAAGGACGGGGCGAGGTGGCCTGGAGTCATGGACAGGTGAGGGTCATTCTTAACACTTCCTTTTATAAAACAGCACATGAGGTTTCAATTTTCTAACCTATAGGGAAACAATGATTCAAACCTCACAGGAAGATCAACAGAGGAGAGACACAGTCTGATGTTTGTCACGTGTTCTCTGCAGGTGTTAACATTTGGTTGGAGGGAGGATATCCGGGTGGGTGACCCCATGCACACAAGGAAAGTCTGCTTTGATGCCGTCTCCCACAACAGTCTCGTCACCCTGTACGACTGTCACGGCATGAAGGGGAACCAGCTGTGGCGCTACAGAGAGGTACAGCAGAGGAAAGTGGAGACTTTGGAGTCCATTTCTTGTATAAAATGGAGGTACTCCATGAGTGCTAATATACAGTATAACAGCACTGGGACTTTTGAATCTCCATGTTTCACTCTGCTTTACAGGTGTTCTGAGCTATTAATCACATTTACCGTTATTTAGCCTACATTAAGGGTCGTCATAACAAACTTAATACAACAAAGAGAAACATATTCCAGAGATAACATTTGAGTTAAATGATTAATAGTCGTCAGAAAAGGACGACGAGACAGAAAGAAGCCTGATACTTCACTGCAAACCTCCAGGTATGCTCATATGACTTCAGGAGACAACGCAACGTGCTGATTGGCATTACACATATGCCACAAAAGTGACTGTTGACAGACTTATTTCACTGGTTGCAAAATAAATGGAAACACACAGATGGAGCCTACATGATGCAAAGTAGCTGGTCTGTGGTAAGTGTCGACCTACACAGAGCAGCAAGCTAGTGTGCACTAATGTTTATGTGTTGTTTGGCAACAGTCCAGTCTGAGTCAAGATGCGGAACCATTTGGGCCAAATAAATCATGAAATAAACAAACAAATCATAACCTGTTGCTGCTTTTTATTGTTACGAATAAATAAATGGCGCTTGTAGAAATGTTGTATAAAAGCATTATCACAACTCGAGGTCATGCTGTTACCTATGACTGAATCACAGCTGTGCTGATATACAGCACAACCGCACTCCCTCCCATGTGATACTGCTTCATTAATTAATCAAGAAGGAAATAAATGCCGTGTTCTACCTGTGTGTTCTTTTCACTACTCTCTCCTCCAGGATAAAAGTCTGTATCACCCCGTCAGTAACAGCTGTATCGACAGCAGCCCAAGCGAGCGGCGAGTCTTCATGAACACGTGCGACCCCTCCTCTCTTAGCCAGCAGTGGCTGTTTGAGAGAACCAACGCCACCGTCCTGGAGCACTTCAACCGGGGCGCTAATTGAGGCCACTGGACAATGAGATAAGGCGTCTTCCAAAGAAAAAGGCCATGAAACAATGATCACCTTTGATCAGGTGAGTAATACAACAGTAACTTGTATTTTACTGTTTTGTCAGAAGCAAAATGATGCTTTCAGTTGACTTTCATCAACTTTTCATGGGAATTGTTAATAAGAAAAGCAGCAGTTTGATTCTTTGAACTGTTAAATATCAGCCTGTCTAATTAAACAACACATTGTCTGAGGAGCTGTAAGCTGTCTGTCAATGTTCCCAGATAAGACTGGAAGCTACAAGTGAATGACGTGCCGCTTCAGAAACATTCCCAGTGGTACAGCAGCAAGGCAGCGTGCTGGCTGAGAGCAGAAGAGCTGGTCGGACCACACCCAACAACCAGAATACAGTCATACATCATGAGCTTGTGATGAGGAAGAAGGTAAACAAGAGACATGCTTACCTGAGCACCAGTGCCACCACATTTGTGATGAAAAACTGATTTAAAACAAAAAAGTTTAATTCACTGTCTGCATTCTGTCCTTCCACAGGGTGGGAGAACCACATCAAAACCTGATTGTCTTGTGGAAATCCAATAAAACAACAGAGCTCTTACAGACCTCAAGAATTTCCAAGAGTCGGAAACACAAACACGAACTCTGCTGTATTTAATGGATTGTCTTGTCACCTTGTCTTTTTCAGTTGTTGCCTTAACAATTCCAACAATGGGAAATACTTGCTCCAGATGTTTTCATCCAAGGTACCAAAAAGCAAATGTGGGACTTTTTGCAAGATATGAAAAAAAAAGCAAAACATAAAACAATCACTCGTGCACAGTGTGCAGATGCATCGCAAGACTATATATATCTATAAAGACTCATCTTGAAAGTGCAATTTTTTCCTACTGAGCAATAAAGCAACACAGTTATTTTATGTCAGTTTCTATTGTGAGATGATTTTTTATTAAAATACGTACAATATTTTGCTGTCTGATGATTTACAGGTAACTTGACTTCTCCTTCTCCTCCTTCAAGCAGTAATGGCAAACACACATTCTCCGACCTTCTAATGATTGTTTGGTTAGCAAAATGTGTGGGGCACTACCCCCCATAGCCTTTGCAAGTAAAGAAAAACACATACTATTACAGTTCATTTTATACAGCAACCTAATCCCATATCTTATCAAATACCGTCCAAGAGATGCAGGCAACCTACACTGTAAACACCATGCAGTAGCTGATGTTGTTATTTCCACATGACTCAGTCATAGTATGCAAAATATTAAACTCAACTCAACTCAACTCAAACTTTATTTATAAAGCACATTTAAAACAACCAAGACTGACCAAAGTGCTGAACAGGTCAATAGAAATAAACAAGCAAATAAGGTGAGGTACCTAATAGTACACCACAATAATAACCATAAGATACATAAAATACAATACAATAAAATAAAATACAAGAGTTATAAAATAAGATAAAAATAAGATAAAATGTTTGGGTGTCCAGCTCAACCTGAGTTAAAAGCCTGAGAGAAGAAGTGGGTTCTAAGAAAAGACTTAAAACCTCTAGGGTCTGGGCAGACCTTATGTGCAGGGGCAGGCTATTCCAGAGCCAAGGGGCAGCCGCCCCAAAGGCTCTGTCACCTCTGGTCTTCAGCCTAGTCCTAGGAGCAGCCAGTAATAGCTGACTGGCTGATCTCAAGGCTCTGGAGGGAGCATGAAAGTGCAGGAGTTCAGTTAAATGAGGGGGCGCCAGCCCATTTAAGGCTTTAAAAACAATCAATAAAATCTTAAAATCAATTCTAAAACTCACCGGAAGCCAGTGGAGTGAAGCCAAGATTGGTGTGATGTGTTCACGTTTAAGCTTTCCAGTGAGGAGGCGGGCTGCTGCGTTCTGGACAAGCTGTAGATGGTGTAGCAGTGACTGGTCAATACGGACATAAAGCGAGTTACAGTAGTCCAGACGTGAGGTTATAAAAGCATGGATTACCCTCTCTAGATTTTGGGGGGAGAGATATCCCTTTACTTTAGCTAAAAGCCTGAGTTGATAAAAATTGGTTTGTATTACTGATCTAACTTGTTTATTAAATTTAAAAGCACTGTCAAAGGTCACACCGAGATTTTTAACAGAGGAACGGATGTTAGGAGTGAAGGGGCCCAGAAAATCAGTGGGGTAATCGGAGGGGTCACATCCAAACATATTGATCTCTGTTTTATCCTCATTGAGATTTAAAAAGTTAGTGTCCATCCAGGATTTGACATGTTTTAAACAATGACTTCCCAGAATTAGGCATACTAAACATGTGCTTTATAGCTAAGACGATACACATAAGATAACCTGCAGTGAGTAAGATGGGTCCTCTTCAATCCCATCTACAGTACAAGAGAATGAGACATTCAAACCAAATGGTGCGGCACCTTTTCAGCACATGAGGCAGTAAGCTTCACCGCTTTCCAGCTGTTTTACTTCTGCTTGCAATGCTAAAGAAGTCCAGGGTCATTTTTATAAATGCTTGCAAAACAATCAGAGCTGAAGGCAAATGTCATCCCCAGCGGAAATATTTACATGATAATGACAAAAAAAGATTTTATTTTCTAAATTACCATACACACTACACCCACAGCCAACTCAAGCACCATGTATTTGACCACTCAGGTCCTTGACTCAGCAACTGTAAAACCGAGGTCACACAAGCTCCTCATCTCTGCTCAGTTTGTTGAGGAAACCTGCACAGCAAGCTAATGTTTCCCTACAAGGGACAGCAGCTGCAGAGGCTCAAAGATCATTTACCAGTTTCACTTTCTTACGGGCAGACTAAAGGCTATTTTACATTACATGATTTTCATCCCAATTTTGCATCGCGGAGACTATTGTAATCTTTTGAGTGTTCATACCTGGTTATGTGTGTTTCTGTCATCGGGAGTCCCGCCAATTGCGTTAAGACCTGTGTGTGCACACCACAATATTTCTCCACCGAGCCCTCGCCAACAGAGCCAAAGATAACGCAGTGATGTCACCAAACTATGTTTTTTAACTTGGAGACGACACATCGTAAAGGCATGGATATTCTTCCCAGTGTTGAATCAGATCTGCCTCCAGGGCCTGGGTCCAAACACAACGCGCTCCCCGTGATCCTGTTGACGCCGCCATTGTTGTTGCTTGCCCCGGCTTGTCAGTGTTGCCAGATCTTGGGAGAGAAACAAGCAACCAGGGCTATGGAAACAAGCCCAAAAGAAGCGATGGATATTTGGACCCAGAAGAAAAAAGTTTTGATATCAAGATTTGTTTTATGTAATTTAAGTATTAGACTTGAGAGAAACATTTTGCATCAAAAAAAAATTCAAAAATATTATTTATTTATTTTTTATCACATGTCCTCTGTAGAGGACATCGGGACTTAGTCGGGTCTTAAATTTCCAGAGTTAGTCAATGAGTTTCAATTGAGTTACAATGGGACTATGGAGTATTTTATGCTTTATCTCTAAATAAATGAGCTACAAAGGACTTTTACTCCCCTGGAATTATTATGTGGCTGTCTTCAATGCTTAACACTATGATGGATAGCTGTAGCAAGGGAGAGTGTATTCTTAATAGCTATACCAATGGGCCTGACGTTCCAGTCAGGGTGCAGGATTGATACCCTGTACCACTGGGTTTAAGGGCCTAGTGGTCCAACTGCACTCACCTCTCACTATCTATGATGTGATGAGGTGTAATGCTCGCTATGTAGACATTTAACACTCGCCCAGGCAATAAGAAGTGATGGGGAGCCCCATAGTTTGACCCATGACCCCTATGTGACAGACCCCAAAGACCAGGTAAACTTTATTGTGTGTGGTGGCCTAGGAAGGGTAAAGAACAGTGGAGTGAAGCTTTATAGATACTATTGTATGTGTGAATACACTCTCAGCAAGAATTGTCATTGTTTAAGGGAAATAGAGCAAGAAGTTTCTCGAAATCCTCCTTTTAGGTAGTATCCTACCACAGATGCATGGGAATGTACGTTCACCTAAGGTGTTCTTTTTTTCCAATAAACCTCCAAATTCTTGCATACACATTACTTCAGAGTCTCACTCCAAGCCAAATTTCTGCTTTCACACTGACTAACCTTTAAAATGTATTAGAAATTATGAGAAAAAAACGTCATTCTCCTTAATGGCCTTCTGCCTGCTAAATCATGGAAATTGGTTAAAAGACAGGGGGTACTAAGTGATATCCTCTACAGAGGACATTGAATAAAAGGTGTATTTTGAAAAGGTTAAAATTACTCTGGATTTCTGAAATCTCTCTAAATTAAAGTTAAGACCCTTATATTCAGGAAACTAATTAAATATTAACAAAATAATCATAACTTTTGCCAGAAAATGATCAATTACCACTCTGGCAGCAAAAAACGAGAAAAACGTAATGGCAGCCATTTTGAAAAGGGTGTGTGTTTGCCCTGTTAACCCCACCCAAATAATGTCTACATCATTAGAAAGCCCTGGATGTCCTCTTCAGAACACAATTTGACCCAAATGGATAGCATAAAGAATACTTGAGTTACACTAGTTAGACTAATGTCCTCCACAGAGGACAAAAATGAATTGTCAGGACCCAGGAGGATATAGAGAAAGACGACGTTTAGAGAGCAAGCCCAAATAAGCAACTCCACTTTAGAAACAAGCCCAAAAAAACGTAACCCACGACTACCAATATTTGTAAGCAACTTTACAAAAAAACAAGCTCAAATTTGTGGCTAATAAGCGGACCTGGCAACCCTGTGGCTTGTCCTTCTCACATTTCTTCCATCCTCCTGCATGCTGACATGGGAAGTATCCCGCCTCTCGTTGGCTGATGCTCTTTGTCAGTAGTGTCAGCCTTCTCCAGTTTTCAAGCATGCCAGATATCCAGTCCCAGTCACAGATGAGGAGGCGACTTGCTCGTAGGCTTGTTCACACACGAGGACTCGTCGTGGCAGACTATCTGCCGCATGTCCGACCCAAGGTGGCTCTCAAGATCCTCTGCGATGTCAAAATCGTGGTGAAAATCATGTAATGTGAGCTAGGCTTTAGTCATCAAGCTGAGGGGCAATGCCAATATACTGTGAGCATGAATCTGATATTAATGCCTATCGAATGCCACTGTGGTCAAACAAGTGGAATCAACTGCAAAATATGCTCTAAACATGATCTTTTTGCACGCTATTGCTCTCTAAATACCAGGCTTTTAATATTAGTCCTTGGCAGTCAGAAATCTATTTCACCAAATGTCTTATCCTAACATGGATGTTAAAAAACAACCTTTGAGCTTTCATACATCCATTTATGGATACACATGTATGCAGCTTCAGACTCAATACACAGCACAAATGCTAACAATCCAATAGAAAAGCTTTTCCATAGCCCACACTGGACAGCTTACATTAGTCATAGTGGTACAAAATGACATCCCAGCATTAGGCGTAATGGAAATCCACTTCAGAGCCCCTATATGGTACATACAGTACAGATAAAAGAGGCTGTCATGACATATATGAGTCCTTTAAGCTATAACATACACCTGTAAGACGTTATTTCGAGGCCTAAGAGACACCTGAGGGAGAAAGAAATGAGGAAAAAGAACAGTGCTGTTTCGTTCATTGCAGAGAAACCTTCTACAGGAAACCACCAGAGTTTAATGCAGGAGGGAATGTAACATGACCCACGCTTCTCCGTCACACAGTTCTCTCTCTGCAGCTTTTTTTTTTCAACTTGTTAGTCATAATTTGTGAGACATACACTCACTGCTATTCACCCAATGCTGACTTGATAATAATGATAATATGAAGACTCTTTTTTTCCTTGAAAAATTATATTTTAAGTTTGTGATATGCGTGTGTGTGTGTGTGTGTTTAGAGTATCCAACTCAATTAACGACTAGAGACTTTGGTCATAGGTGAGAGTCGAGCAACGTTGATATAGCATGGGTGGAGTTAGGTAAGACGTCTATTACGCATAAAGACAAGGTGCAATACGTTTACATTTTCTTCACACTTTTACTTTTTGGTTCGTTTGTTTTTCAAAACTCTATCTGCTACGTATTTTTGGTATTTATATTTTGTTATTTGCATACTGACAGTTGTATCTTAACAGTGTCCCTCTGTATTTCAATAACTTTCTTCTTTTTTTTACATTTAATAATTTATAACTGGTACATATATTGTACTTCTATTGATTCTCATATCTTGATCAGAGATGCAACTGCAGTTTGCTCGTCTGC